TCTCCAATTGTAGATGTTAGATGTAGGTGTTGTTTGGTGTTCCATCTTCAGAAAGAGGTGCTCAGTAAACGATTCCGTGTAAAAGAAAGGAGGGATCATTGCACCACGAAAGCCACTTCCCATCACATGTCAGTTAGTCGGCCAGAATGCGGAAGAAGTGAGGGACATGTCGAGAATCTTTAAAATAGCTGTTGGATCTGTAGCTGTTAATGCGTGGCAAGCATTGGTCATACAAACACTTAGCGGCTTCCACCACGACATTCTCTTCCCAGAAAATACGAATGTGGATAAGCGTCAGTATTCCATGCCAGAAATTAGTAAGCAATGCTAAATTATTTCCTCGTTGTGTCAATAATGACCCGGAAATCTTCTCAATGAACAGTGAGGGATCTTCTTGAATACGACGCGTACGAAGTTCTCTACGGTAAGTTTCACCGCAGCCTACTAAACCTTCCCTAAATTTGACGAAGAATCAGGTACTTTACGCATGGATCCAGGTTGAACTTTTCTAGTCAAAACCGACAGATTTAGATCACCCATTTTACAGGTTCAACCATTACTTGGTGATACCATGACCGAATGCAAACGGAGGGAAGTATTTCTCCAACATTTACAAATTGACATAGGTAATTCCAACCACACGAATAGCTTTTTCGTTATCCATCTCCTGAAGTTACCCACATCATTTTATGCAACTTTTGGGAGTTACAAAGCCCGCTTTTGTGCAAGAACATCTCGCAACAGCATTCGTTATAAAATTTTTAAATAGCTACCTTGATTTAACCTGCGCAGAACGGACGAATCCTTGTACCCACGTCGCAGACACAGAAGTATAGGTATTGTCTAATGCCGCAAAATGCAAAATTTTCACTTGTAGTTTTAACGTTTATGAAGATAAAAAACTTATATCATTTTATGAGGACAAAGAAAAAGGTGTGCATTCTTTATACAAATAGACAAAAGACATTTTGATAGCACATGGGGACAAATAAACTATCATGTTGTTATTCACACTGAAAAAGGCCATTTTTATCTCCATCATAATGCTGCTGTAACAGATCCTTTAAAAATGCAATTAATTTGTTTTAGTGTCTCATGACGATAAATAGGTGATTGCCCTGAGAATAACATCCTTAAATTTAAACACATGTAATTAAATCCAAAGATTTGATAAAATTATGTTTGGAAATAGTTATATTTAAGGAGGCCTGAGGAGGTACAATTCTTCTGACATTTTCTTGAGTCAAATTTGGGTTTCCACTCGAAGATTCAAAAATATTTTGCATAAAAGATTAATTTCTTTATTTAAATAGGGACATTTTGCCTGTTAAGAAGTTTGTGCAAAATTCTCACACACTACATAACTCTGGATATGTGTTGAGAGGACTTGAAGCTCCTCTGAGTTAATGGCGGGGAAAAAAGTTGTACTTTTTAATTATGCATCAAAAATACAAGTTGCGATTTAAGGAAATACATTATTATGAGACAGCGATATGTTGATTAGGTCAGCTAAGCAGATGACCCAAAAATCCAGATTTAATATATTGTATCCTTGTCTGAGGAAGAAAAGACAGTCGTCAAGACGTACCGAAACGTATTGAATAATAAACTTACCACACAATATTGCAACTTACTTGTTTATCTTAGGGGTTTGAGGGTTTCTTAACAAAAAATTCATGGTAATAAATGAGTACAAGTGCTAATTTGCTTCCTGTAAATGGTAACCTTTTTATCCACCCAGCGCTAACGTGGCTGTATTTTAATTGCAATGAGACGTTGGTTTATTTCAATTTCCCTTTGTTTTTTTTTGCACAAATCCTCTACAATTAAACAGCTTCTTAAACAAAATCTTTCTAATGAGCATAGAGGATTTTGGGCAAAATAATTAAAGGATAAGTACCTAAAGTTACTGGCATTAGCAAGGCATTCCTTAGGGGAGGGACGCACAGATTCAAAGATTGCGGGATCTCCTTTCCCGCGGTTCGCCCATATTAGCGCTTTCTTCTGGGCAACCTTCAAGACTGTTCGTTTAGAAGAGACGCGAGAGCGCTTGATGGATGAAGAGGCAATTTGATTACAAAAGATGATTTCCTTTATTTGATCTAGCTAAACTGTAAAATATCAGGTTTATTTTTATTTATTTCATTTATACAATAGGGAGTCTTTGGTACTATATTTGGTTTTCTCTAAGCTCGGGAACGTCGATGAAATAGGTAACGTAGGTAGGGGCTAATATCCAGTTACTAAATGTTATCAACGTAAGGTATGGCTATTGGGAGTTTTTATCACACAGCTTGTGGTGAATCAGGCCGATAGGGATGCGTGAGCCGACTAACGAGATGGGTATTTTTGGTAAAGCTTTAAATTTTATTACCATCAAAAAGCGAATGTGCGCAGAGCTGAGCGACTGAGTGAGAGAGGTTTGGAGCGAGCCTAACCCGGCATAGCCAGTTGAAGAGCTAATAGTAAAGGGTGTGGGGTGTGTGTATGTGTGCAATGGCTGCGATTAAGCAAACAAAAGGTGGGACTGCGACACACCGAAAAACTGCAAAAGGAGGCAATTTCGAGCAAGGCTGAATGCATAATGTGCTTGTCTTAAGTGTGCCGTCATTGTAGAAGATAGAGTGGCAGTCATGGGCAGTAATATAGCAAAAGCATGGAGCATAAAAAAGGGAGGCAAAAACCACTTCCCATATGCACTCAACCTTCAAATAAAATGAGAAGGTGTGTTCCCACAAGGAGTTTTGAATGGTTTTCCAAAGTTTAATTAAACATTGTTGAACCTGGAGATGAATAACCTACATAATTAACCAATTGAAACAATAAATTCCTTCTTTTGGTAAAAGCAAGAAATTGCCTTGGAGTTATGAAAAGGCATAAATTCGACGCAAATTATGTCCATTCCAAGGTCATCTGCCATTTCCTGATAAGAAGTTAAGAAATACGGATAAGTGGGGTTTCGCGATCACGAGAATCGTATCAGAAGGCCGACGCAAAATTTACATGCATATTCTTTATAAACTTTTCTACCCATATGAGTGAGCATTTTAGGTTAAGTAGTCACTTTTTAATCTTTGGTTATCCCATGTGAGACAATAGGGGTGTGTTGATAAGCAAGGGATTTATTTAAAAGCAAAAGCGACTCCCCTTCCCTCTCCCCTTCTATAAGGCAGTAAAACCAAGAGCTTATCAAGACGTTTTATGGTGATGTTTGGATAGAAACAGGGCAAAGAGAGTACCACATCCAAATCCTTCTATCTCTTTATGCGTGTGCATGTGTGGGTGTGGGTGGCCTCTGTCGCCCATGCAAATCTGACCGGAAATCAAGGCAAAAGGTAAACCGAAAAGGGCGACCGTGTTTGGGTAAAATTTCTTTGTAGGGCAGGGCTGATCCAACAAACCTGCCGCCACTTTTGGACGTTCATTTACAATGACATTTTGCTTCTGTGTTGAAGTCCATCCAGTGATTTATTTAGAGCTAGGAGCAGCCGTTGATTTATCGGGATGTAATAATAACCCAACAAAGAACAGGAAACAAAAGAATAGAACTTTTGCTGTGGATTGGGTAACTGCCAATATGATTGCACATTTTAGAGGAGTTCTTCGAGAGCCCTTAACGCGGCAATTGGAAAGAAACATTTTAAATTCCGGATTAAATAATTAAACAAAAAACAAATTTGGACAGAGACATTTTTTTTATCCAACCTTCTATCTTAATTAAGTGTGGTATGGATAACTGACAAAGTGGTTTGGCTTACCATTGTTTTCTCAATACTACGAGGGATTTGGGCTAACCTAAGGGGAAGCAACAATTCTACTCCCCTTTTTGTCATAAAAAGGTTCTACAATCGAGAATGACAGGGAAAACCTAAGTATGGGGTACGTTTTATGTCTCATTCACCGGGTTGTAATATGTAATAATATGAGCGCATCCCTCTTCCATTCTCTCTCCCTCTCTCTCCTCATCTAACTCCTTCTCTGTGGCATAATTTAACAAACGAAATAAATTAACTCATGGTGAGGTGAAGAGAGAGGGTGTGATCAAACAGTTCTGCTGATAGTTGAGTGAGAGTTGTCACCACGGCGAGCCTTGTTTACAAAGGTTCTACGGAAGGGGATGCCCGACTGCCTCGGCAAATTCAATTAAAAAAGGTCTTGAGGTGGCTGGACAATCTATCAGTTATTCAATTAAATAGGGACCAGGGGAACACTGAGTTGGCAGGTTTCAATGCCATTGGAAGCACCTTGTCCAAACCTTGTCAAAACTCTCCCAAACAAATCACTAATAATTGACTTGGCAAGCAGGACAGCTAACGTGTCTTGGGTGACTTAGCGGAAACTGCAAAGGATTTTATGTAACGAATTTGTGTAAGCACCTTCACCTTTGTTTATATCAAATGTACTAATGAATTTAAAAATGCTGAATATTTTAACACATCTACACCCTCAAGGTTCAATTCAGCTCATCAACGTAAAGTTGGTCTTGAAGTATCCACAAAAGCAATTCTCTCCGGACCTCCCTTTTAGACTGAAAGTTGCAATCTTTTCTATGCTAGACAAAGGAAAAAGGGAAAAGCTGAAATTTACTCAGAAGCAAAAGAAATCTCATCGGGTATTAATTCATTCAATGTCGGGAGACACAGACAGAGGAGGTAGGTTGCTACACTGCAAATGTGGTGACTGGCATCAAGACTGTTCCACTTTTTCCTCCACCTGTGTGAAGTTTAAATTCAACCAGGAAAAATTTTATAAAGTGAGGTCATGGATACAAAAAACTGTTTATGCATAACCATTGCCCAAATGATGTTCACCGTGGTCACCATGACCATCAACAGTACGCACGCGTGAATATGATGCCTATAAAGACGTTGACCTCGGACTGGCGAGGGAGAGAGAAAAAAACTGTTCAAATCCATCTGCCATGTGTCAACTCTAGGGCAGCCTTGCAACCCCGTTAGTTAGGCGGGCTTGCAGGTGCGCACGTATGTGTGCGTTTGTGCATGCAAGCATGTGGTGCGGACGTATACGCCTTGCATGCACGCACGCACGCATGCTCGAATGCCAATGTATCCTACCTGGCCATCAGCCCAGGTGAGCGCGCACCCGTTAGTCTACTCTCTTGCGTTTCCAGTCTGTTCCCTATCTTTATTTCTCTCTCTCTCTCTCGGCTCCCCTCCCATTACCACCCTAACCCATCCAACCCTCCTCGCTCCTCCCACCCCATTAGGTATGTCAGGTGTGTTGTGTATGTGCGTGAGTGAGTGTACACGCGTGCCCAGTGGCCGCTAGGCTAGTGATTGCACAAATCCTAACTGTCTACGGCTCTGTCTCCCTCTCCCGCACACACACACACACACACACACACGGATTACCGTTGCCCACCTCAACCACTTTGCCCAAGACCGCTGCAATTACACTCCGCTAGTGCTGTCACACACAAGTCCAGCTCCGCATTTGTCTCCTTTGAGTGAAGGCAAATACTATGGATGTTTAAAGCTGGGACCTATCGAAGTGGATATTGTCATCCGCATTGAGGTTCGTATCGTCTCTCCACCTTATTTGTTAAGCATTCACTAAATTTAAAGCTAAGTTAGACAAAGTCAAATATCTGCTCGTAAACTTGATTTTGATTGGCTACCTGTACAAAAAATCCATATGACAACGTACAATCGGCCAATCAAAACAAAGTATATTTGGATGCCAAATTTCTATCACCTTTATTTTTTATTTTTAAATAGTTAGGATAATTGTCCAAACTAAGTAATAGTTTTTGCGCTTCTAGAAAATCAGAAAATTTTATGAAAAAGTTGCCATGCACCCTGAAAAAAAGCTACACAAGAAAAATTTTTGCAATTTATGCGTAAATAACTGATGTTAATATTCCTAGGAGTGATTTAGATGATAAGGGAAATCAACTGATCACATCACTGAGCCAGTCGACTTAACTTGATCAGTAAGCTTCCACACTTCCCTAGATCCAAGAAGACCAAATACGTATTAAGTTGCAAAATATGCACCATTTCCATACTTTTTACTACTTTTTTTTTCGGAAAATTTCAACATTGAACACAAGTTTGCCTTCAGCAGTGAGTGCTAAAGAAAGCTCCTTGAATGGAGCGTTTCCGGAACAGAGAATTCCCCCAACCAATCAGCTGGACGCAAAACACTGCGGAATCGATACTGTCATACTCATTAGGGGTGCTTTGTCATTTCATTGTCAAAGTTGGCGAAAAGCCAACTGAATGGATGGGATCTACTACCCGGAAGAATGGAAAGGAGGGGAAAAGATCTTGGAGGGAATAACTATGTCGTTGAATAAATCAATTGCGTTTTAATTCTGAATGCACTTTCGAGTTGGTTTTCGCCTATCCTATTTCCTCTTGTAGCCTACGAAAAAATAAAATGACGCAGAGCCTACAATTTACTAGGATTTGTGAAACGGAATGAATTATTACTGCACTGCATTTAAGACACAGACTTAAAAGTAAGCAGATGTCTACAAGCTGCTTTTAGCACCTTAAACAGTCATGATGAGGTGGAAAAACTATCCCCTCCTGACAGCCATAAACATGAGATTCATATTTAAGTAAAGCGAAAGTCACTTCTGAAACCTGTCACATTACAGTAGGGAAACTCATCGCTCCATACATGTTGTCCGCATTCAATATTTTAAGTGAATACTGCACATCGAGTCATCAGTTCTTTCGAGCAAGCACAACCATACAATTTGAGTTGTGACAGTTACTTCCAAAATTTACACATTTTGTTGGTCTTTCGACATACCATGGAGACTAAACCGAGGAGACCTTTCATTAGCGCTCAGAAGCAAATATGTGGTGCATAGAAGGAGAAAAATAAACAAAATAAGCGTATTGTAAAGTCCAGTAAATGATACTGGGGGCAAGTCAATTTTATCGTTAGTTTAACTAACCAAAAGAGGCAATGATGAAATTTTGCACTTAAGTACGAGTGAAGAGAATAAAGTAGCTACGTTATTTCCAAGAGTTGCCAGCAAAAAAGAATAAACTAAATTTTTGTTGTTTTTCAGGTGAATAGATCGTGGTCTAACTATCCAATTTCGTACACTGACACGAGGCAAAAAGTCATTTGGTAGTAAATTTAAGCAAAATGGATGAATTCAATAGAGATATAATTATGCGTGGCAAACATAGGGTTTCTCACTTTGTAGAAGAGGGCATTTTGGATTTTCTAGTAGTCTTTTAGAAGTTATCCCATATTTCATTCTGCTTACTAGTAATCAAGCGTGCCCAAAAAAACAACTGATTAAAGGCTCAATGAAGTTGAATTTTCCAAACTGTCCTTTACAGTTAGAAATAAAGTATTTTAACAATGAATTAGGTAATTTTCAGAAAAACCTACATTTTGTCTTTTATTGTTTATTAATGCACAATTTGGCGAGATCTTACGGTTTTTATCTCTAATTTTGCAACTTATTTCATGAACTACTTTTTATACTCCAAAAAACCCATTAGTCAGTTTTGCTGTTTGCTTTTACACACTTTCATGAACAATCATAACAAAATTCCTTTTTTTTTGACACATTATTTATTTATTGACTTAAAAGTGGGTTGAAGTCCTACTGGTGTTGACCGAAATTGGACAAGCAAACTGGGAATATTTAGGAAATCACTAATGGGAAGCTAAATACTGCATGGGCATGCAAAGTCAGACCACCGCAAGCAGTAATGTGCATCGATTGGCATCATGCTGTCAAGAGGTCAAGGTGATCATCAAGAGACAAGGTTCTACACTTGCTAATACACCAAAGATTACTTCATTGCGTGACAAGACCGTACATATACACACACACACACACGTAGACTGGGTGGGGGCCGGAGGCGAAAAAAGCACCAGAGTAATCTGTTTTGCCTCCTCCATCGTGCTCAAGATGATCCGGTTTCGTGGCCTCTCTCCTCAATAGCCGAAATCTCTAACCGGTTATTTTTCGAAAAAAGTTACTCATATATTTAAGATCGCCTTCAAGTTAAATACCAATTCACCGAATATGTTTGCCGGAACACCTCAAGAGTAATGAATTGTCGGCTTAGGAGCCCACTAAGTTCATACCTCCTGGAGATAAACAGGCAGTAATTTGGCATTAGAAGTCAAAGTTCTTCCATCACTTTTATAGGCTTATTAAATAACGGGAAAGTTTGTTTTTCTCTTTTTTTTTAAATAAATAAACCACATGATTTAATAGTGGATGCAAGAAGAATGCAGCTCCTTAGTCCCAACTAAAGTTGGCCACAGCTGACTTTAGAACTGCTGAATAATTTAAACTTTACGCTGAGCTGATTCTGTCTCTCGTCCATACCTATTAATGGCATTAGTAAATGAAAACGGCTAAGTTAATGAGTAATCTGCAGAGATTTATACACCCTATGGGAAGAAATTTATTTATTCCCTAAAATAATTCATCTTACATGAGTTATTACTATTACTTTTCACTTACAGCCTGGGTAGGACAAATGAACTTGAGTTGACCTTGTCATAAAGCTAATTAAGCCCTATTGCAAAAGTGTATAAGGAGGGGGGCGGGGGGAGGCTGATAGCGGGTTCAAGTGATTTCCTTCTACGTCACCATTAAGTAGGTGATCAATTGACGCCACTTGTGTCGACGACTGTTTGAAGAAGTGTACAAAGGCGGGAACTTTTATTGGGATAAAATGTGTCAAAGGCAGTATATTTTTTGGCAAGAGTTGAAAAGTTATGCGTTCAATCGGTTTTTGCACTTTCTGGGGTATTTGCAGCCAGCTATGCTCCGAAGAGAAGTGAATGCGTAATTACAGTAGTGCAGCTGAAAATGTGGTTTTCTTTTTCCCTCTTCTTTCTTTTTAAATCATAAGAATTACTGCATTACAGTATCTCTATCCACATTAATCCATGTAACTCATTTTTTCTTGGCTTACCTGAAGATTTAATTTAGCCCTACTTGTCTGGCTGAGTGGAACGCTTTCTCACAGCCCAAAGGAGTACTTTGATCTCAAACTTGACTAAAATACACTAGCAGATTCAAGGGATAATGAAAAGACTATGAATCACCCACGCACACCCTACTGTACCCCCCCTCCCACTGTCGTTTCGGATCATTTTCCTCCTTCTCATTAGGGCTTTTATTACAAAAAAGGAGGCGAACTTTAAGAGATGAAAGTTTTCTTTCTAATCTGTGTTGCACTAGTTATTACATTCCCTGTTGGCCAAATAAGGTCAACTTTTACCGATAGGTTTACATGAGAGGCGAGATTCCGACCTCAGCTGCATATTTAATGGCTAAAGGCAAGCAGACAGGCCATTCATAGTCTAAATTACAGCTCTAGAGATGCCTAGCCATGTTAATGAAAGAAATCTTTTGTTAAAAAACATCTAATTAAAGTAACTTATTTTAATTTCAAGGGCATTGAGCACTAATGGGTTACCTCTTTCCCTTAGGCATTTAAACTAATCTACGTTAATTACCCTGTTTGTTTTAGGGTTAGAATACAACAAAATTTGAACGTTTTGACGCTTTAATCTTATACATATCCATTAAAAATAAGCTAATAGCACTGTTCCTCAGTTTTCACAAAGATGGAGTCTCCAGCCTCCCCTACTTCCCTTCGCATCTCGATTGAAGCGACTGTAACGGGCAAGGTTAGGTCCCCTTATCAAAGCTCTGATTGTGTATGTCCTGGGTGCTTTCATGGTACCATATGTTCTGTTTTTATGCCAAGCCAGTTCTGTCAACAAAGATTAAATGACTAGCAGCAACGATTACTTAACGACCAAAAAAGGAATCATATTCGTGGATTCAGGACCTTATTTGCTTTGAAAAAAGGTATTTTTCACAGCGCTAAAGTAAAAGTTACTCGTATAAAACCCCAATATTGAAATCCATCGTTTGCTTGTGTGAAGTTAATGAAGGAAACAAAAAAAAAACCGGTCACAAGGACGCACCAGAGAAAAAGCACCCCTACCCCAGCTAAATGAAGGTCATCGCAGTGACCTCTGACCACTGGAATACGTTAATTTAAACAAGGCTAGGCAAAGTGAAATTACTACCTGGAATAAACTAATTTTAAAATCACATATTATCATTTAATTTGAACACAGGGGAGCTGTTTTTCCTGTCCAATTAATTTGGATACAAATGGGTAATATTTTTCTTCATAGAAAGAGATAAATTACGAATATCGCGTACGAACATCATCGGTTTTGTACCAGTTCAAATAGCGTCTTCCGACTGCATTAGGTTTCTTCAGAGTTTTAAGCTTTTATTTGAAATGACAGCCTATAATATTCAGGTGCACTTTTGATAAAAAAGGCATGTAAAGGGACTCCATTGCTTCAGTTATATCAATGAGCACGAATTTATTTTAGACCGCGCTAAAGAAAATTTGTCTTCTTGTACTAGGCAGAAGTTTAAAACTTTACACAAAAGAATACAGAAAGATGAACGAATGAATGAAAGAGCAGCTAGCTCCCCACTTGTCACTTTAAAGAAACCTGTAGGAAACTAACAGACCATCCATTCCTTTTTGTTTCCAGTTCGTTTGAGATGCAAGTCAGTGGCAGCACTAGGCAAGAAAAGGACTGGTCAGCCTTCATCCCAAACGGCGGGTTCGGTGTCAAGCGACCGCCCCGACTGATTGGTTTGGGTCCAAGTCCTACGGCAGTGAATTTCTTGCAAGAAGAGTTGGGTCACAACCCAACACCCGAAACCATCAATTCCTCCTTCTTCAATCGACATCCTCAACTTTCCAAATTTTCCACTCATGGGGGAAAAGGACCTTCGCATGCTGAGCTGAGGAGCGATTTCGAGATGAGAGAGTTAATGAGTTTGAGTACGGTGATAAGCAAGTCTTTTTAAGTCGAGGGCATATGTTTATGTGAAAATCATGTAGTTTGAAGGTTACACAAGACAAAAGCGTAGGTGACAACAAAATGAACTAGATAAGGAAAATTACAATTTTTGTTAGGCATTCCTTCCAAATTGCCAACTTTTAACAAAAGAGCAAAATAAACCCACAAGCAATCTCAATATCCACTGCTCAATTAAAAGTAGGAAATTGTGTTTGTGTTTTTTTTTTTAAAAAACGTCGTAGAATGTGGAACACTAAGCCTACCAATTTACCGTTACTGCCATTTGGTCATACCGCGTTGGCATAGCGACTGAGACAATATAAAACAGCTTCTTTGGTTTTAGTTTGCGAGATTTGTCTTTCCAGCGCTGTTGCTTTTAACCGAGGGCTATAACTGGGCTTGTACGCACGTATTGTGACGCTTTCTGTCTATTTTATCCATGGTGATGTGTATTACTGCTAACTAAGACAAGCGGTTTAGACCTCAACTTCAAGAATTAATTGAAAACGAGGTGATTTCCAAGCCGAAAACTTGCCTTTTGCATTTTGTTTCATAGGTTACTAAAGCAAAAGGATTCTCTACTAATTTGCATAACTTTTGGCCACTAGTGAGTGTCTACATAGGAAAAATCAACATATATAAGTGGACATGCTTTTGTCTACTCTGATGTTATCTTATGCGGTGTGCGTTGGCATCAGTTATTGTCAAGTCGGGATAGGATTGTTGGAATTCTCTATTTAAGACACCTCTAGCATTGAGCGTTTTTGTTTGTTTTTTATTAGATCTATAAGGTGTCGTATTTAAGTAGTATGAAACTTAACATAGCAGTTATGGTTTTACCAGTACCATCATCATCTGATACAATCGTTGGAGAAAAATAGTCACATCGAGATAAAGCAATGTAATTAATAACTTTTTAATCCTCCACTACTTAATAACTTTGTTTGATTAACTTCTGAGTCCCACATAAATACAGGGGAAGAAAGAGTTAAATACGTCTGGTGTCTTCCAGGCATGTCTGACTTAGCCTCCTCAAATGTCTCCTCTTATCCTCACAGCTTTCCACGCACTTATTTTAGAAGTTAAATTAAATTCTTCTTTTAGAAAAATTAATCTAGACATAAGGAGGAAACATTTCTTAAGTTGGCAGAGCCCAAGACATGGTCTGAGGCTTAGGAAAGTCCTAGGAGTAAATTTCATGTACAGTGACAGGTAATACCAACCATTTTTTGCACATTATTTTTTGAGAAAGATTAAAATACGGAAAACAAGAATTTATCAGTGGAAGGAGGGATTTTGCACTGATAAAGCGTTTGCCTTTAAGAGAAAAACAGCCCCTCCGTAGACACACTCGTTTCTATTTAACCTTTACTTTCTACCCGTCGATTCTACTACGTATGCGTCCATGAAATTGTCTAATGTTAGGGAAAGATGACAACTAATACTTGAAGAAATGTCGTAGAGAGGGTACAGGAAGGATGGAGATGTGGTACATCTTCAGCAGATCAGTTTTGCGAAAGATGTACCTTCACGATCTGGTGTTGCCATTTAGGAGTGAGAATTGCTTAGTTTGAGGTGTTCTTACAGAGAAGAAGTTTTCCTTTCACACCTTTCAGTTGCATCGAGTTGATGCTGGGATTGCAGACGCAGTTATTGTTTATCCCACGGGAAGGGGACAATTGTGTCTGAGGTACACCATACCCACCCACTTACCCATTTGCAATGGAAGCATACTCCTGGGCAAATGAAGTGATGGGTGCCTTGGAGGCATTAGGTGGGTAGTGAATGAATCTTTTGAGATAAACAAGGATAAGAATATGCGACTTACTTCTCATCACAAGTCCCACATTCAAAAAACAAATAATGTCTCTAAAACAGCACATGCCTAGTGGGTATGAAACAAAGAAAACGGAGGAAAACATGTTTTTGGTCTTTGAAGCATGGCTTCCACGATTTCACCTTTCAACTTGATGCCAACATTCATGGGTTGTTGCTTCATCACCTATGCCTGAAACTTGTTCCTGACACCTTCATAATCAGGAATTAAAGGGATTTTATCCTGACTTTGAGTAAATCGTTCCAAGAACCGCATAGGAGAGAACTTTCAACATCCATAGTGGTGTAATCCAAGTTCTTCTTTGTGTCCAAAAGCAGGATCCCCAATGGTAGAGGCTGGAGATTTTGGATGTTCACCACCAAAGGACAGTCAAGAAGGTAGGGCAATCCGAGCCCTAGCTGACCTCTTCATGTGCCCTGCAACCACCTTTCCTCTGAGTGTTGGTCTTTTCTACGACACCGTCAGCACTGCAAATGCGTCAAACCATCAGAGCTCTTCCCTCAAGCAGCTAGAAGGTGAAGTGCTGTAGATTTTCCTCCATTCACCTATTTTGTTCATTTTTGAAAAGCGAAGAGTGTGATGGATTTAGCGACTGCTTTTAGTAAATTAGAAAAAAAAAAGAATCTAACATGACTTCTGGAGCTAAAAAAAAAAGAAGTTTCCAAGAAGGAAAGGAAATGAATCTTTTCCATTTGAATTAACCGAGAGTGCTTGAGTTTTAAAAAATAGACAGTTTACGCTCATTGGGTTTAACAAAGGGGACTCGAAGGGAATTTGAGACGTAAGAGCTTAAAAAACACTGCCAAAACGTAGATACCTTGACAGAGACTGACAGCAATTGTCTAGGTATTGTTTTAACCCTTCATTTTAGAGGACATTCAAATACTTCTTCGCCTCAATACCAAAGCCCTTCCAACATTCAGTGCCGCTTTGGTCCTCGTTCCAGCCATGACTATTTTCTTTGCCGCCTATATGCTGGCAGTCACAGTTAACTTCAAAGTCGGTCTTTCATTGGGAATATTAGGGCTATTCACCCAACTTTTTGTCCTCCGTACGTTCAGACTTTCAATTTTTCCACCTTTCTATCCAAACCCTTTTAGGGAGGACTCAAATAATCAGAGAATACTGTTATTATTTTCCATTTTAAGTTTCTAGGAAAGTAATTTACAGTTGGTTATTTTGTTGCTCAAGAATTCACCATAAAATGGTTGGAAAGTGGGTGAGAGTTACTCTTCCCTCCCTTTGCCTTGCGCCTCCTTCCCTCCTATTTAATGTGCATCTAAGCTCCTTTCAATCATGCCCAACAACTTCAGATGTGTTTGGGGACAAAAGAACCAAGAGCAAGGAAACCATTAGTTCACAGTTTGATTAAACCGCCGCGTTTTCACCCAAACAACGGCCCGGCATGTGCACAGTTGAGTGTGTTTGCCTGAAGTAACCAATCGAAAAGGGCGTGTGGATGTAAAAAGGTCCAGCCAAGAAAAAGAAGAGAGAAAGGCTGAAAATTTGCACCATTCAAACAAAAATATAGGCCTCAATAAACTAATTAACACATACCACCGAGCCTTTTAATCTGAAATTTTTAAGGAAATATTTTTGGGTTCCAAAAAAACTGGGTTTTTATTATGAGAAATCACTCGTAATTTCCATTTTTAAATTACCTTAGTGGCTATCGCAATTGGCAAACAATGCTTTAACCTGAGGATTGCGTGGAATGCCAGCCTCATTCTATCTTCATTTGTGAGACAAGTCAATCTTTTTACCAAATTCTTCTTCTGCTATCCCCGACGGAAATTTAATTCTATGAGTCCTGTGAAGTGAGTCAAATCCAATTATTATGAACATCAATGCTTGCGAGATTGAGTGGTCTTCTACTTAAATCAAAGGGCTTCATTCATGTCTCCTTATAACGGGATAGTAAAATGGGCTAATCGAAAAGTAGTGTAACAGTTTTACTGAGCCAAATTGTTTTAAAGAGATTGTTTTAGCGAATGGAAAGGGCAAAC